GATATTGGAAGACTGCTATCATGTCTTCCCTGGTCTTCTTTGCATTAAACTAAACATACCCAGTTCCTGCAACCGTTCCTCCTATGTTTTGGACTCCAGAACCCTAATCATCTTTGTTGCTCTTCTCTGCGCTCTTTCCAGAGTCTCAACATCTTTTCTACATCATGGTGACCAAAACTGGATGCCGTATTCCAGGTGTGGCCTTATAAAGGCCTTATAAAGTGGTATTAACCCTTCACATGATCTTGATTCTATCCCTCTGTTAATGCAACCTAGAACTGTGTTGGCTTTTTTGGTAGCTGCTGCACATGGCTGGCTCATATTTAAATGGTTGTCCACTAGGACTCCAAAATCCCTTTCACAGTTACTACTATTGAGCCTATTATAGTGAATTATATTATGTGACAGTACACTTAATGATGTTTTCCCAATTTCTGAAATAGCAAAGATGGGATTAATATATAGCCAATGGTATATATGCAATACAATGCGAGGGATATAAATTAAAATTACTAATGGTGGAGGACTAATTAAATGAAATGTTTATTATACAAAATTAAACTTGAGGATATATGTTATTAATAGTAAAATAGAATAATAAATGGAAATGAGATGTTAAATTTGATTATTTTTGAGAGGCAAACAATGATACTGTCTAATATTAACAAGAAATTAAAATTAAGCGGGAGAATATGAAATAAAAATAAGATGAGCGAAATGTAAAATGGAAATATGATGTAAAATGTACTATGGATACAGAAGATGTAAAGGGGGGGACAATACTTTGTTTATAAAAGAAGTTAAAATATCTAACAAAAAATTAAAAAAAACTTTGAAAAATAATGTTTTTTTCCCAATTTCTAATTTCTACCTCTATTTTCCTCTTTTTAATAAGACAAATCCCAGATTGAAATGTATTCTATATCTATCCATCATCCTGCCATGCGACTCTTAATGACAACATTATTTCATATAATCTGGGCTCCCTTCACCCCAAAATGTTCCCCAAGACTCTTCTGTGTGCGAGGATCTCTCAAAAGTCTGCCCATTTTACAGGTGGAAAGACTGAGGCTGACAAAAGAGGGCAAAATTGTCCATTAACTCCCCAAATCTGGATTGCTCATCGGAGAATGCATCTGAGAAAAGGAGAATGATTTTTGGCCACTGGAAGGAGGGAAGGGGGTGAAACCAGGGTCTTTCGCAACCGCTTGACAAGGTGGTGTAGCGAGTTCGAAGCCCGACTCACCAATTTATTGTTCTCTTTGATGTCGAGGGGATCCAGAGCTTCGTAGTTGCTGAAGAGAAAAGAAAGTAGGGGGAAAAAATGAGAATATTGTTGTAAATATTCTCAGATAATTCATTTCTATTGGGTAGAGGGGGGCTGGAAGAGGGAAATACAGGCTGTCCCGACTTATAGCAGTTTGTTTAGTGACCATTCAAAGTTACGACGGCACTGGAAAAAAAGGGACTCAGGACCGTTTTTCACACTTACAACCGTTGCCGCATCCCCATGGTCACGTGGTCAAAATTCGGACCCTTGGCCACTGACTCATATTTACGACCGCTGCAGTGTCCCACAGTCACGTGATTTTGCAACCTTCTGATAAGCAAAGTCCATGGGGAAGCCGGGTTCACTTAACAACGGGTTTTCTAAGTTATCAATGGAAGTGATTCACTTAACNATATGCTGACTCTGTAAACCGCTTAGAGAGGGCTGAAAGCCCTATGAAGCGGTATATAAGTTTTACTGCTATTGCTATTGCTACAATGGTCCTGGGGGGAGGGAAGGACTTTGGCCCGTTATTCACACTTACGACCGCTGCAGCATCCCCCATGGTCCCGCGATCGAAATCCGGATGCTTGGTGACTGACTCATATTTATGACGGTAACGGGGTCCCCGTTTGCGATTGTCTGACAAGCAACGTCCAGGGGCAAATCAGATTCTCTTAACCACCGGGGTACTCACTTAAGGACTGCAGTGATTCGCTTAACAACCGTGGGAAGAAAAGTCGTATCGTGCGGGCGCAACAAGTTTTGTCACACAGGCAATGTGAATTTTTGGCCCAGCGGTGGTCATACGTTGGGGACGAGCTATATTAACTTCACAACAGCAGTGATTCACTGAACAACGAGGAAGGTCTTAAAACGGAGCAAAACACATTTAACAACTGTCTTGCTCAGCAATGAAAAGTTTGGGCTCGATTGTGGCTGTACGTCAAGGAGTACTTGAACCCCCAAAATCAACAATGTGTTAACCCAGTCAACACAACTATTTTCCAAACCGCCCTCCGGGCATCACTCACCGCCATCCGGCGCGGGCTAGATTCCTCCGTCGGCCCGCCTCCTTCCGCCTCCTCCCCCGAGAAGGACCCGCTCTTCATTCGTGACCGTCGCTTCTTCACCAGGTCTGCGTCGCGCATGTGAGTAAAGGCGGACTTGATGGAGTGGGCCCGGGGTGGCGGTACGGGACCTGTGTTGCCCGCCGAGGGGGCGCGCTGCAGGGGACGCTCCACACTGCCCCGGGAGGCGAGCCGTTTGAGCCGGGGAGGGGCAACCACCTTCTCTTCCTTATCGATCTTCTCTACGTCTGCCTCGCATTTCCCAGAATCCCCTGGCTGGTCCTGGCTGGGGACACCTGAGGAGCCATTAGCCAGTCCTTTCCCATCATGCCTTGGGGTTTCACCCCCAGAATCCTCCTGTTCCAAAGCTGGAGGGGCCCCGTTGATCAACCTGTCGGGTTTGGAGATGTCCGCTAGAAGACGCGGCGAATTTGGGCTGATCTCGTCGGCCACGTTCTCGCGGGGTTTATAATCCACCGGATCAAGAAATACTGTTTTCTTTTCTTCGGGGGCAACTCCATTTTTGACTTCTGGCCCTACGGAGATGACGCTGCCGGCAGCTCCCGAGCCATTCAGCTCCGCGCCTGGCTGCGCCTCGCTCTCCTTGTGGGGGACGGTCTCTGCGACGGCTTCATTCCCAGAATCCTTTGCCTCGTTTGCCTCTTCAGGCTTCCCAGAATCCTCCAGGAGATCAGAGTCCCCTTCTGCTTTCTGCCTCTCCTCCAATCTTGCTGTTTCCCCAGAATCCCCCTTGGCGTCTATTTTCCCGGCCTTCTCCGCGTTATTTTGCAGATGTTGGGAGTAAAACACAGCAGGGTCGACGGATCCCGAGGGATCTGTGTCAAATTTGCCCACTTTGTAAGTGGTCTCGCTACTGTGGCTGGCAAACTGTACCACTTTCAGTTCCTGTCCAGTGAAAAAGGCCCGTATCTGGCAAAGGTACGTCATGACAATCAACCGATCCGGCACCGTCAAGAAGACCATATCTGCCGGGTCCATCAGCCGCGAGATGCCCAAGGTGGCAAAGCCGTCAAAGGCCTGAAAAGGGAAGGAGAAAACTTACGATCACAACTGCGCTCAACGTTTCTGATGCTGAGACATTTCTGAAATTCAGCCCCATTTCACGACCTTTGAGGACTACCTACATTAATTTTATTTATAGTTTTTTTCTTTAACATACATGATTACATAAATGTCTAGTTTAATGCAAAGAAGGACTAGGGGAGACATGATAGCAGTGTTCCAATATCTCAGGGGCTGCCCCAAAGAAGAGGGAGTCAA